GGAGTCCGCACTAAGGGGGATTTAAAAATGGCGGCACCCGGCAAGATGCAAATGAAGCCCAGGATATTTAAATCCCGGGCTTCATTTGCAACTTTGAATGCCTACATTAGCCACCCTAGTTCGAACTAGGGTGGCAGTGCAGACATACCCATACTTATTAATAACTTGGGTGTCACAGTGGCACATCCAAACAAGCCACAAACTCAGTACTGGTGCATAACACAAAATTTATTGTGCTCATGGGAGGAAACTCTTAACAGCGCGGGGGGGGGGGGGGTGTCACATGACACCTTTTATTTCTGGTCATATGTCCATATTGCCCTGAAAGTATTACCTCCAGAGGTGTGGCCAATGGAGGTCAGGGGGTATGGCTAATGGGGATCAACGAGTACATTTTAAAAAAATTCTTTGGGTGCACACCCCAATGAAATGTGCTTCACATGCTTAGGGAGAGGAGTGTTCTTGGTTGAGGCTGGAGTGGCCACCAGGGCACCCTGAAGTGTCTACACAGCACTTATTTCAAAATAGCTATTTTGAATTTGGCATTATTCCTCGTGGAATGAGGTTTACCAAATTTGAAATAAGTACTCCGCTATTTCAAATTAGTATTAAAATAGCGGTTTAGCTGTGTAGATGCTAGTAAAGTTATTTTGAAATAAGGGCTGTTATTTCGAAATAACTTTGCTGTGTAGACATACCCTAGGTGATTATCAACCAGTAAGATGAAGAAACAGTAGCCTCAGAAACCCAAATACACAGCATACATGCTTATCCTTACCATGCCTCCTCACTGTGCAAGGAAGCAGTGATCATCTCCCACAGTGCCGCTGGCCCCCTACCAAAAATCAGTACTGAGTTTCATCACGAGCCAGAAACACATAGTAAATATGAACATAATGGAATAACACACCAGAAACCATCCATATCGCCAAAGTACACATACAGCCAAATGCTGTTCATCTAACCCACACAGCTAGTCTTCCTGAAGTCAATGGAACTATTCATAGGCGCTTAAGGCAAGTATGATTTGGCATTGTCCATCCTATATATAAACTGTGATTTTCAACAGCAGAAAATGGGTTATTTTTATACTGTAAATCATAATACTAACAATAATTCTTTGCATATATGCTCTATAATGTGATGTTCTGATTATTGCATGTATATATAATGAATACACAGACTTCAATTTATCATTATTACTACATTTATCAAACAATATTCCAGTCATCATAGTCAGCAACATTATTATTATTGATTTATCAGAGCCTAACTTAAGAAAGCATACATTTCAGAATACGATAAGAAAAGAAAAGAAAAGAAAAGAAAAGGAGGGAGAGAATAATTAGAGAAACTCCTCACTGACACTGTTCAGTTTTTTCAACTATAAATATATTAATATAAACCCAGTCCATCTATTTTTGTAATCAACAAACCATTCTTTTTTAGACCCAACTCTACCACTTTGCTCAAAGACAGAGGAAACATCAGCTGAGCAGGAGAGCTTTAGAAGGGATTGGCTGAGATGCTATTCTTCACTTCAGCCAGGTGACAGGATGCATTTTTGTTACTATTATTTATTATTCACATTATTAAGGGTAAGGATAAGCGAGGAAGAGAGTGAGTGAAAGGGAGCATGTTGTGATGGGAAGGGGGTATGTCAAGAGAGCAGAGGGAACTGTATTGCCTAGGAACCCCAGTCAAGGACTAGGACTACATTGTGATTAGCATTTTACAAACACAGAAAAAAACCAGTCCCTGCTCCCAAAGACCTTACAATCTAAATATAAGCAAGAGACATCAGGTACAAACGGATTTGGGAGTTCATATAAGGATATAATAGAACAACATTGATCAGTGTGATAGGCTGGCCTCAACACATCAGCAACCCAACTGTTATCCGGGCTTTTATTGTAGGCCTTGTGCCAAAGGAGAGTTTAAGGAAGGTTGATAAGGGAGTGAAGCAGATTTTTACAGGGATTTGAGGGGCAGCATGGAGAAAAAGCACAAAGGTACTTGTCTGAAAATATAACAAGTGGAAGACGGAGGCTAACATCGGGGGCTGATTGTAGTAGTGGACCTCTCTATACTGAATTGCTAGATAGGGTAGGTAGGTAGGTCATAAAGTGTCTTGAAAGTGAAGACAAGTATCTTATATTTGATTTGATAGAGAAGAGGGATCTGAGCCCCTGGTGGGAGTGCCTGGTGCTGGGACAATAGGGTGACCAGCAATAGGTGCAGAACTTCCGGATGCACAGGAGGACATTCCATGAGCTCTGCACCTGGCTCACCCCTGTGCTCCAGAGGCAGGACACCCACCTACGTCCCACCATCCCCGTGGAGAAGAGGGTCATGATTGCCCTATGGAAACTGGCCACCCTGGACAGCTACCGCTCCATGGGGAACCAGTTCGGGGTGGGCAGGTCCACTGTCCGGCAGGTAAGACCCCCCGGGGGACCACGGGCTTGCCCTGGGGGGGAAGGGGGAAGGAGAAGGGACCAGACTTGGGAGGGGGAAGCCCCACAGCTAGGAGAGTCACACTGTTCCTCCCGCACACAGCTCCGCTGGTGGGAGAAACCCCCAGGGGCAGAGGACCCTGGCCAGCGTGGGAGGAGCCATCAAAGCAGGGGGCAGCACATCCCAAGGGCCCATGTACCTACTGTGTCTCATTCATTGCATCCCCTGTGCTCTCATGTGCCCCTCTGCAGGTTGTCCGGGGCAGCACATCCCAAGGGCCCATGTACCTACTGTGTCTCATTCATTGCATCCCCTGTGCTCTCATGTGCCCCTCTGCAGGTTGTCCGTGCCATCAATGATGTGCTGCTCCAGAGGATCATCCACCCTCGTGACCTGGACACCGCCATCGCCGGCTTCACCAGCCTGGGGTTCCTGAACTGTGGGGGAGCCATTGATGGGACCTATATACCCATCAGGGTGCCAGAGCACCAAACGGCCCAGTTCATTAACCGGAAGGGCTATTGCTCGGTGGTGCTCCAGGCACTTGTGGACCACCAGGGCCGGTTCATGTGGGGTAGTCTGGCAAGGCCTATGACGCCTGAATCTTCTGGCACTCAGGTCTGTGTCACAGGCTGGAGGTAGGCACCTACTTCCCCCAGCAGTACTTCAGCATTGGGGCAGTCAGGATGCCGGTCTGCATAGTGGCGGATGCGGCCTACCCCCTGATGGCCTGGCTGATGTGGCCATACACGGGCCGACTGGACCACAGCCAGGCTACCTTCAGCAGCCCCATTGAGTGCGCCTTCGGGCGTCTGAAGGCACGCTTCAGATGCCTCCTGACCCCCCTGGACATGGGGGTGCAGCATGTCCTGGAGGTCATCGCAGCGTGCTGTGTGCTGCATAACATTATTGAGGGAAAGGGAGAGGCTTTCCTCCTGGGATGGATGGCTGGTGAGGGCCAGGCCTACCAGCAGTCCCAGACGGCTGCCACCCGACAGGCAAACTGCGACCGGGTGCAGATCCGGGAAGCCATCTGGGTGATGCTGCACTGGGCCCACAGTAGGCTGCACCTATGCCTCTAAGCACATGGTTCTCTCCATGCCTCCACCTCCCACTCCTTCTCGCCACTCTTCCCTCACCTCCTAATAAATAGTATGTACTGTCTTAGGAAAAGGCACTTTTATTTACAAAGGGAAGGGGGTGGACTGCGGGGAGGAGTGGGGTCTGAACTGAGAAGGCCTCATTGGTGGGAAGGGAGGCTTCTCCCTCCCCCACGTGTGTGCGGGCACTGGTGCCCCTCGTGCTGGGTTGGGGCAGGCTGCACCAGGGGGAACCACAGGAGGGGGCATGGGCAATGCAGGGGGAGAAGCAGTGGGAGAGCTGGGGGTAGCAGAAGCACTGTGCGGTGCTTCCGTGCTGGGCGGGGGTGCTCCAGGGTGCCTCAAGGGCACCGTGCTGTGCTGCCATACTGGGTGGGGGCGTTCCTGGGTGCCTCAGGGGCGCTGCGCTGCGCTGTGCTGCTGGGCCGTGTGGTGCTGCCGGGCCGGGTGGGGCCCAGGGCGCCAAAATGGCTTGGGCTGGCCGGCATGAGACATTAGGGTGTGCCTGGGCACACCCGGCACTCCCTGTGTGCATGCCTATGCCCTTCTCCCAGCACGTCGCGATGCCCAGGGACAGGTGTGGCTGGTGAGGGGGAATTCCCCTGGGGCAGCAGGAGGGGGGGTCCCAAGGTGGCCCAGGAGCCCCCAGGGGGGCCCGCATTTGCTGGGGGGGGGGCTGTTGTGCCTTCCCTGGGGAAGGCACAGTGTCCCAGAGATGGCCATGGATGTGTGTTGTGTGTAGCACCCTTTAGGCTGTGTGGGGTCAGTCCTGCAACCTTGGGGCTGGACTACTCCTGGCCAGACCTCCCTCCCACAGGTCTGGTTGTGCAGAATCCCTGGGGTTCTAGGCATGTGCGGGGGGCTAGCTGCTGCTTCTGTGTGCCACTTGGTCTGGTTGCACGTAGGGTTGCCAGATGGTTTCAACAAAAAGACCGGACACACTTGACATTACATGACAATCTACATTACATCTTACTTAGAAAATACCAGACATTTATATTTTCTCATTTATATCTTCTCAATTTGTTTCCTGAACAGTAAGCTCAAATACTGGACTGTCCGGTTCAAAACTGGACACCTGGCAATCCTAGCTGCATGAGGTTGCATGTGCTGCATGCCTCTGCGCAGCATGTGGCCAGGCTGTGCCATGTGCCACTACCTCTCTCCCAGCCTGTGGCCCCCCCTGCTCCCAGCACATTTGCGAATTGTAGCCATTGCACTCACCAGATGATCCCTCACAAGCTTCTGAGGATGCTCGGGACACATCCTGACTGCTGCTGGGCCGGGGTGGTGGGGTCTGGCTGCTGTCCTCTGCTGCCTCCTCCTCCTCCGGTTCCCTGGGTCGGACCACTGGGGAGGCCACCACTGTGTCCACCTGGGCCAGCAGGGGACTGACCTCTGTGTCCCCCAGGATGTGTTGCAGGCAGTGGTAATGGGAACAGGCAGCAGCTCCGCCGCCCCCACATAGGTGAGGTGTAGGTCCTTCACCTTGGCACGGACCTGTTCCAGAGTCTGGCCCACGTGTCCCTGTAGGCCCAGGGCCTGGGCCATCTGGGAGATGATCTGGGCATTTCTTCTCCTGGACTTGGGGTCTCGGAGGGTCTCCTCCTTTCCCCAGAGGTCCAGGCAGTCATTCACCTCAGTGGCGCTCCAGGATGAAGCCTGCCACTTGGTGCCCCTGTGGGCCTGCTGGGTGCTCTGGGGTGGCTCTTCGGTGGGGTCTGAGGCAGCGGGCTGAGGCTGGGCAGCTGCCATTGCTCCCCTAGGATACTACCCGGGCCGCACGTGGCACACGGCTGTGCAGCTTGCATGTGCGTTTAAGGGGGGGGCCAAGTAGGGGGAACCAATGAGTGGTGATTGCCTGTATGGAGTGTCGGAGAGGCTACCTGTGTTTTTTATTGGAGGCCAATTCTTGCTCAAGTACTTGTTTGCCCAACGTCCACACTGCCCTCTTGCGCAAGAGTGCCTGCTCAAGGGAGCTTACATCTGATAAGCTCAAGAGAGCTTACACCTGATAGAAAACAGCGTAGCTCTTGCGCAAGGAGCCATCTCTTATCACGCCATACTGTAAATTTCCTTGCGCAAGAGCGGGCGCGCAGTGTAGACGCTCTACAGATTCTTGCAAAAGAACAGTCATACTTGCGCAATAACCCGCCAGTGTAGATGTAGCCCTAGAGTGCATAAAAATGCCCCCCTTTCTAGTGATATAATGAATAAATCAACAAGAATGGGCAAAATAAAATATGTTTTACTCTCCTGCACAGGGTGACTGGCCCCTTTAAGAGAGAATGGGATAGTTCATCTTTGGCTCATTAGCTGCCTCCAAGTGGGGCTAGATAGCGGATATCTAATCACTAAAAACCCTTCTGCTCATATTACAGAGCTTACAGCAGTTTGGCTTACAACAGTTGAGTTTTAAATGGAATTTCTGGAGAGAAAATAATTTTATCTGCATGATTTAAGCATCTCTAATTTCACCTTTATCACAGGGGTAGCTGTGTTAGTCTAGACCTTGCTTTAAGTGACGATAAGAGGAAGCTGCATAACAAATTTGGTGGCCCTAGCTCTTACTGTTTAGGAGGAGTTCTTGAACAAATGGACTCACAGTTGGATGGACGTTCAGACACACACACATATATATGGAGGATAATAGGATGACAGAGAATGTGAGTGTGTGTGTAATGATCCGTAGCTGGGATTTATGAAATTCCACATACCTTGAAACATTGGCAGGCATAATATCTCTTCACATGATATTATATATTCATAGAATCATAGAACAGTAAAACTGGAAGGGACCTGGAGAGGTCATCGAGTCCAGTCCCCTGCCCTCATGGCAGGACCCTCTAGACCATCCCTGATAGATGTCTATCTAACCTGCTCTTGAATATCTTCAGAGATGGAGATTCCACTACCTCCCTAGGCAACTTATTCCAATGCTTAATCACCCTGACAGTTAGGAAGTTTTTCCTAATGTCCAACCTAAACCTCCCTTGCTATAGTTTAAGCCCATTGCTTCTTGTCCTATTCTCAGAGGCCAAGGAGAACAATTTTTCTCCCTCCTCCTTGTGACACCCTTTTAGACACCTGAAAACTGCTATCATGTCCTCTCTCAGTCCTCTCTTTTCTAAACTAAACAAGACCAATTCTTTTAGTTTTCCCTCATAGGTCAAGTTTTCTAGACCTTTGATCATTTTTGTTGCTCTTCTCTGGACCTTCTCTAATTTCTCCATATTTTTCTTAAATTATGGTGCCCAGAACTGGACACAACACTCCAAATGAGACCTAATCAGCAGAGAGTAGAGCCAAAGAATGACTTCCTGTGTCTTGCTCACAACACTCCTGTTAATGCATCCCAGAATCATGTTTGGTTTTTTTGCAGCACCATCACACTGTTGACTCATGTTTAGCTCGTGGTCCACTATGGCTTTTAGATCCCTTTCTGCAGTACTCCTTCCTAAACAGTCGCTTTTTATAAGCCAGCAAAGTGAGAGCAGCACATAAAAGAATATAAACAAACAAAGAAAACATTTAAATATAGGAAAATAGAAAGATGATGCAAGTTTGATGTCAGCTTATAGCAGAATTGGTGGTCATACAGTTAACTGAACGTCATTTTGTACAGTTCAGTGATGAATTCTGCTAAATGTAAAGCCATGTTCAAAAAAAGGCAAGCAAAATATTAGGCTGAATACAGAATTGGACAGGGAATAATACAGAACAGTATCATGCCCATCAATAGAATGACCCCACTGGAACACTGAGTACAGTACAGCTAGCCCCATATCTAAAACATAATGAATGAAAAGAAATTCAGAGATAAGCAACAAGCCGGATTAGGTGCATGGAGAAGCTCTTGTATGAAATCAGATTGAAGAGATATCTCTTTTCTAAAGTAAGCTGACTGGATGAGATGATAAAAATTATCTAAAATAATGAATGACACAAAAAGTAGATCAGGAGTTTCTGGTCTTATAACACAAGTTCAAGTTGAAATTGCATTAACTAGAAAGGTGGCAAATTCAAAACTGATATAAGGAATTACTTTTCCCTCACAATGCATAAATAGACTATGGGTTTTAATGGAACTTGATA